AAGGTTTTAGACTTAAATAGGATGTACAGCACTGCAGCATGAGGTCTATATCCATGGAGACTTCCTTTGATCTTCGTCATTAGCCAGGGAGTTTTGTCCTTGATTTTCATGTTAAGGATGCATACGATTTCTTAGCATACATAATATGAAAATCAAGGAATGCCTCAGTGACAGGGTCTGCTTGAGCAGTAGCCATTCATCTGCTTAAACTGCTTGAATCCAGAAGCAATCTACAAGTAAAATGAGTTTAGTGTTATCTGCTCCTTAATAGGCAGGAAGATGAGAGCTGGCCAGCATTTCATTTGGCCCTTATGGGTACAGGAATAAGAAAATCCAAGTTCTTAATATAAAATATTGTAAGTCCAAACTCTGAATTTTCTTCCTTCATGGTCTGTTCTTTGCACTCAGCTGGGCTATTAATAATCTAAGATTAGCTTCAGCTTAGTAAATGGCTGGACATGGCAGTATGTTTGATACACTAGTAATGAGCACACGCGAGAAGTATGGAAATCGAAGTCTTTGGCCCATTTATTTCAGAGGTTTATTCTTCACACGACAATCTGGGTTCTGTTAAATATTCAGAATGATTAAACAGTCAGGATAACTCTATGCATGCTCAAAATCTATTTTCTTTATTTCATTACTGTTCTACACTTCAGACGGTTTTGGACAGAAAAGTGTTAAGGATAGTCCCACAGGCCTTACATATGTAGGACACATGTCCCACAATTTGCTTCAATAAATGAGTTTCATGATTACATTACAGACCACACTGACTACGGCCCCCTGGGTTTCCAAGCACGTTCTGGCTCAGAATAGCCTATCATCACTGTGTAGGATGGGGCAAATGCCCTAAGGAAGCATGGGAGATATGGTAACTGTCCTGGAGATAATGACTTTTTGCATCGTTCTGGCACATTTAAACATAGTATAAGGAGTTATTAACAACATTTTTCAAAATCAATTTTTAAAAAGATGTATTTCACCCCTTTGTAATTTGAGCTTGTTGACACCAAGAAACATTATTTTTCTGATTTCTTCACGCCTCTTCAGTGCTTGATTAACAACTCCTACTACAGTCGCCAGTGCCAGCAATTACTTCCTGTGTTGATGGGCATAAAAGTATTTATTATTCAGTGTTCCAGATCACAAAACTATAGGGAAAGGTGTACTGAGTAATGCAGGGGTGTGGGGTTACTCCCCCTAATGTTATTGGACTACCCCTCTCACATTTCTCTTCTAACCACAGGCTAACGAGTCATCCCTGCAGCACAGGAGCTAACAGAAGTTTTTTTTGCAGGAGCTTCCAACTCTAGAAGAGATTGTACCAAATGGACTACAAATATGTTGTCAAACTATTTTTAAATGGCTTAGGGTGGCGAGGTGCCAGGGCACTTACAGCACCATAACCACTACAACTGAACTATTTCTTTAACCAAAAATACAGCACACAACAGCAGAGACAAAGAAACTAATTTGAATAATATCTGTATAGGTAGCTCCAATACAGGTAGTTTTCAGTTGGTGTTATAGTGTATCTCCCTATTTATTCCAGACGCAGGTAGTTAATGGTAGCATAAGGGGTAGGGATAGGTATAAGGCTATCCTAACTATAAGATAAGGCCAGGGACTAATGAAAGTATTTAGAAAATTGGGCAGACTAGATGGGACGAATAGTTCTTATCTGCCGTCACATTTCATGTTTCTCTGTAGCTATATATGAGGGGTGTTGTTGGATTTATTATTATTTTGTAGTTTTATAAAATGCCAGAAGATTCTGTAGGCAGAGATGCAGATACGATGATGTTTAACAGACATTAAATACATTTATCATAACATACGCATAGGTATTCACTATTACAAAGGATCCAGAGTCCTGCTCTGGAAAGCTTACTATCTAGACTGGTTTAGTTGTGAAAGTGAAGTACCCATCCAGATCATTCCACTTGTTTCCATGGTGATTGCTCCACATATAACACTTTGCACAACAATTGTACTTTTTGAATATACCCTACTGACATTATATTTCCTCACCATATTGAAAATATATGCAGTGAACTACCTGCTCAGCACTACCAAAATTCAACCCCCTCCTTCTGGAAACATTTCCACATACATGCAAAAAACTACCAATTAATGAACAAAATGAAGATGGGATTATTCGTGTCCTTCAAATATTGAAGGACAACTGGCAGCCAAGTGTCAATATTTGGTGAAAATAGCTCGGTGAAAAAAATTTAATAAAAAATGTCTAGCCTATATTTTGTAACACAGCTGTTTTCAGCAAATACCTATAGGAACAAAATTAAAATCAGCTCCAAGCTATTAATTAGTTTCCTAAACAGGTTTTTTTTTTATATCCAGTTCTCAAACACAGTCCTGCTAGGATCACCAAATCAGCTGGTGTTTTAGGGGCAATTATAAAAAAGTGCGTATTTAGCCAATAAAGCCCTGAATCATATTTTTATGAATATCTCTAAATCAAATCATGATCTGGTGAACGTAAACATATTTTTTTCTAATTATTCCAATACCTATTCTATTTTTATCTTATTTACATTTTATATTTTTCTTGGTGATTTTCCACTTCTATTGCACTTTGATTGCACACGTTTCAATTTTATATTCTTTTCTTTTATCCATTCGTTCTCATTATGTATCTTCCAACTGTGCTAGTTGTTCCACCCCATCTGAATATAGCTTACATATTAAAGTCCATTTACCCTTTTCTGTTATCATTGCCTTTAAGCACGTTTAGAAAAGACTAATTGTATTTTTTAAATTTTACAAGCACCTAGTTCAAGAAACATATTTCACTTTTTTTCAGCAGCTCCCAAAACAGTATACTGGTAAATAAGAAACACATTTTAGCTTCAGAAATTGTTTTAGTGCATTTACCTAAATATTTTAAAATATGTATGCACTGGACATAAATATGTGACTTATAATTTGAAAGGAATTATCCTCCAATTAGCATCCCATTAGTTGTAAAATATTCTGTGTTGTTGGTAACACTGTGCACTTTCAATGATCCCTCCAATGGATCACCCTTCCTACGTTCCTTCTATTTTGTTCCAAGATTTCTCATTTTGCTCCGAGACTCAATTTTTTGCTCCTGTTTCCCACACTGTAGATTTTCAGCTTATACTGGAGAAATATGCGAGATCAAGTTCCACATATAGCTAGAATGAATGTCCACTTAGTCTTGACATGACAAAGCCATAAGAGAGTCCAATTGATCAACTGACCGTCTGGGCAGATGGGTTGAACAATAATCGGGCGGAGAAGCAGCTTGTAACGTTTACAATGAAATCAGTTGGCCAGCTCAAATGATGCCATGTTAAGACCCCTCTATTAATGTTTTACGGACTTGAGAAGAGTGGGGTCATTCTTTTGTGACCACTTCATAAAAATGTTACCAGCAATTTAAAACCAATTAGCAAGCCATAAACTACACGGATGCTTACACTTCATTAAGCAGTCACAAAGAGACATTATTCCAATGCCTGTATTTTATGAACAGACATTTTCAAAATATGTAATTGGCCCTGGATCAAATCTCCAGTTCTCTAATGAAGAAACTGACTCTCTACCACACATAGCAGTTTGTAAACTTTTTTTTTTAATGTTTAAACTAAAAAAGACTTTGGTGAACAGTTCACTTGCATGTAATTACACGTTTTGATAAATATTCTAACTGGTTTTTAGAACTAAAGAATCATAAAAACATAACTTTGTCTTAAGTAAGCATATATATCATAGTTTTTTCTTTGTAGCAGAAATGATCAAATATTCAGCATAATGAGTTAATTTACTGCTACGAAGGTTTTAAGTTATGTTGATTGAAATATTATTTTGTTGCTTCATTCAATCGATCTGCTTTAGCACATTAAGAGTTAACTTCTAATAGATTAGATACACACATCTCTTATAGTTAGATAGAATTTTGTTGCATAGAAATCAATGAGTAACATGTTATTCATTACAAGAGATAAATGTATCCCATCTAATAGGATCTAGCCTTGAGTGCCCATGCCATTAAATTAACAGTATAACAAGCATTAACAAGCCTTGATCCACTAATATCTCCTAAGAGCTTCAAGGGCTTTCAAAATGGTCTACCACTTAATCTATGTTAGATGCAATGTACATCCATTTATTAGTAGACATATTTTCTTTGCAAAACATTGAAAATACCATTCAATAGGGTTTAGATAATTATTGTTATGTAACCCGGGACAAATGGCTTTATAGATACCAATGAAAAGGGTATGGAGAGGGTGTTCTTATAAACTGGAGATGGCTGTTAAAAGCTAGGGACAGTACTAAAACATGGGACTTATGAGGGCATTAATAGGAAGCTGAGAAAGTACTTATAAAGGGATTGACCTGGAGATAGTTCTATTAACGATGTATTGGGAGTGTACATATACAGACAGTGGTGTTTCCTGGTTTTGTGCTGCCCTAGGCAGGACAAAACTCAGACGCCTCCCGCCCCTCCCCTCGTGCCACCCCCAACCAACCCTCCCCCCGCCCCGCTTTCTAAATACACACATTCACTGACAGATATGCATACACTAGCTCACAGAAACACATACTCGCTAACAGGAACACACACACACACAAACAGACACACTCACACTCACTAACAGACAAACACACACTAACAGACACACACTCACTCACTAGCAGACACACACACACACTCACTAACAGACACACACACTCACAGGCAAACACACTCACACTAACAGACACACACACAGTCAGACACACACACTAACAGACACACACAGTCAGACATACACACACTAACAGACACACACAGACACACACTTACAGACACACACACACTAACAGACACACACTCACTCACTCACATCACTCACTCACTTACCTTTGGGAATGCTGGGGGGGGTTCTCTTTCTCCTTGGGGGTCCAGTGGCTGCTGGGCAGGCGGCGCTGGCAGGCGACTGGCGAGGGAGCACTTCCTCTGAGCTGTCTGCTCAGCTCCTTCGCGCGCCGCCCGCAGAGTGATGCCGGGAGCCGGAATATGACATCATATTCCGGCTCCCAACCTCACTGTGCGGCGCACGAGGGAGCTGAGCAGACAGTTCAGAGGAAGTGCTCCCTCGCAAGCCGCCCGCCAGCGCCGCCCGCCCGACCGGCTTGTCAGTTAGGGGCGGCTTTTTTTGCCACCCCCTGGAAAATGCCGCCCAAGGCAAATGCCTTGTTTGCCTCGTGGCTAAAACGTCCCTGTATACAGAGTACAAATAACGGCAATTATTAGTAGACTGAGGGGAATATTTCTAAAAGTGACTGTGATGGGCACAGTACTGAGTAGGGTACTAAAAGAAAGGACTGGCGATGATCCTACTGCATGGAATTTGGCCTAGAAATAGGACAAAGAAACTGAAGAACCTAATTGGAAGGAAAGGGAAATGCTAAATGGGAGCAGTGCAATTCTTACTCACTACCCATTTTATATTGATTGTAAGAGAGGCCCCAGTCCAGACTACCGTTTCTCTCATTCCCAAGGGATTGGGGGACTTGCCCCTGACACACAGTTCAGGTCTGAAACAAGAATTCTGCCAATAGAGATGCTTTATACCTCAGTGTAAGAGCAAGCAGAATTTCATCATGTTTGGGGCTCATGTAATAATTAAACCCCATCCCTCCGCCATATTAGAAGGCCTATGACACGACAAAAGCTCTTTAGCTGCCACATATGTAGCCATTGAAGCCATGACTGCCACATATGTAGCCATTGAAGGTGAAGAGCCAAGTCCCTCTTCACCTACTTCAGTTCCAATGGATATCAGGAGCAGATATTACAGCCTGAAGTTTTCACTGATGCAATACTCTGAGGACTTGGAGTTATTCGTTGAGAAATACAACAAACCGATCTTTTTAGTTTAATACCATGTAAAAAGTATTTAAGAACTTGGGAACTAAACTTCCTTGGCTGTATTAGAAGCAATTAGAATGTCCCTCACCAAAGAGTCTAAAGGACTTTAAATTAGCCAGATTCTACCTCGATTGTTTCTATTGATGCTTGCCATCCACTTTGTAGCATGATTTTGGCATCAGATAGGAGAGGTGGGTTGATGAATCAAGAGAATAAAAGGATTCTATTCTTACTGTGTCCACAGGACTGGAAAAGATATATTGCTCTGAAAGTGGTATTTTTATCCAGTGTAAAATAAAAACGTTGTCAAAAAGATAAATAAAGGATACGCGATAACACTGAAACCATAATAACAGACAATAACAAGAGCTTCAAATGATATCCTGAGAGTGCTATATAATTTATTTCATAGACACAAACATCACCTGTCTGAGGGAAAAAAGGAATCATTTTCTCTATGACATGAGTATGATCATAATGGTTTGATAGTCAATTAAATTATATATATGACATCAAATAAATGTGTAGTTTTGTGTATGTTTGTGTGTGTAATATTTCAGTGGTTTAATAAACTATACAGCAGATTGGGAATTTTACTAAGGTTATTTTTGTTAATTATAGTTTGTTTAATACATGTTTCTGATTATGTTAGAAATTGCCTACATTTTACTTAATTTTGCGTTTTTCCCACAAGTTCTGTATGTAGGTCGAACGCTGTTTCTGCATTCGCTATAACAGAACAGAAATATTTGAAAAACTGATATGCAAGAAAAGAAGCCGAGCAGAAAAAGCAAAAGTCATACAAACAATCTCCCATTATCGGATGATTCTCTGTTTATGCTTTCTGTTTCTGTAAACAGCACCTAGAACAATTTCCAGAGCAATTTTTGTTTCCAGTTTGGAAAAAGATTCACATTTTATTCATAGCTACAATGCTTTTGGCTTGGGTACTAATTACGCTAGTTTGGGCAGGGCAGTCTTCACCTACTGTATCAGTATGTAAATCAGTGGAAAGGCAGCGGGAGATTAGAGAGGTCAATGCGTGGCTTAAGTCTTGGTGCAGGAAGGAGGGTTTCGGGTTTTTAGAGCACTGGGCCGACTTTGCGATTGGGTACAACCTTTATAGTGGTGATGGATTGCACCTAAACGGGAGAGGGTCTGCAGTGCTGGGGGATAGGATGGCTAGAAGGTTGGAGGAGATTTTAAACTAGTAGTAGGGGGGGAGGGTCATAGCAATCTACAAAATGGAGATAGGACAGAAAGGAGATGGGCTTTAGCACAGTATAAGGGGGGTGGAAACGGGGGGAGGGGCAAGCTCAGAACAGAGAAGCTGTGTAATGTTGAAAATTCACAAAATATACAAGTGACGCATAATATTAAATGTATGCTTACTAATGCAAGGAGCCTAAATAACAAAATGGGGGAACTAGAGGCATTAGCATACACTAAACAATATGATTTAATAGGCATAACTGAAACATGTGGGATGAGACACATGACTGGGCAGCTAACTTAAATGGGTACATGTTATTTAGGAAGGATAGGAAAAACAAGAAGGGTGGTGGGGTACGTTTGTATGTCAAACATGATTTAAAGCCAAATGTTAAGCAAATGGAATGCGAGGAGGATAATGTGGAAGCTTTATGGGTAAATATCTGCTTGGGGGAAAAGAAGGGAAACCAACTATTGGTTGGGATATGTTATAAACCACCTAATGTTAATATTGACGAGGAACAACAGCTGTTTGAGCAAATTGAGAAAGCTGCAAATCTGGGTAACACTTTAATTATTGGAGATTTTAATTACCCGGATATAAATTGGGACAGAGGGACTAGTGCCTCAGCAAAGGGAATTAGGTTTTTAAACTTGTTAAATGACACCTTCATGTCACAACTTGTGCAAGCACCAACTAGAATGGATGCTTGTCTGGACCTGGTTTTAACAAACAACGTTGATCTTTTGACCAACATTCAAGTAGGTGAGCACTTGGGAAATAGTGATCACAATATAGTGTCCTTTGAAATAAACTCAAAAAAACAAAAGCACATGGGGAATACTAAAACATATAATTTTAAAAAGGCCAATTTCAATAAGTTAAGGGAAGCTTTACAATATATTGACTGGCATAAACTCTTTAGTGAAAAGAACACTGAGGATAAATGGATCATCTTCCAACAAATATTACAAAGGTACATTTCTCAGTATGTACCATTGGGAAATAAATATAAAAGAAACAAATTAAAACCAACATGGCTTAGTAGAGAAGTAAAACAAGAGATTACAACTAAGAGAAGGGCATTTAAAGCATTTAAATCGGACAAATCAGATGCATCTTATAAAAGATATAAGGATGCAAATAATGCGTGCAAAAAGGCAATTAGACTTGCTAAACTTCAAAATGAAATAATGATAGCTGAAGAGAGCAAAACCAACCCCAAAGCATTTTTTAAGTACATAAATTCTAAAAAAAAACAAAATGAAAGTGTAGGTACACTAAAAACTGAAACGGGGGTGTTAATTAATGAAGACCAGGAAAAGGCAGGAATTTTAAATAACTATTTCTCCTCCGTATATATTAAGGAAGAACCCATGGCAATATATGTGCAAATGATTGCTACTAGAAACTTGCAGAATAATTGTAATTGGTTAACTCAAGACAAGGTGCTGCAGCAACTAAAGAAAGTTAATATAAACAAAGCTCCAGGGCCTGACGGTATCCATCCACGTGTACTTAAGGAACTAAGTGCAGAAATAAGTGAACCTCTGTTTTTAATCTTTCAAGATTCTTTTCTTTCAGGAAGTGTTCCGGAGGATTGGAGGAAGGCAGATGTGGTTCCTATATTCAAAAAGGGTTCAAAATCCTTGCCTGGAAATTATAGACCTGTGAGCTTAACTTCTGTGGCTGGTAAAATATTTGAAAGGTTATTAAGGGATAATATTCAAGAATTCCTTGAGAAGAACATGGTTATCAGCAAAAATCAGCATGGTTTTATGAAGCACAGGTCATGTCAAACTAACTTGATTGTGTTCTACGAAGAAATAAGTAGAAGTATAGTTCAGGGTGTTGCCGTGGATGTGATCTATTTGGATTTTGCCAAGGCATTTGATACAGTTCCACACAATAGATTAGTGTTCAAACTCAAGGAAATCGGTCTAGATGAAAATGCTTGTTCTTGGGTAGAACATTGGCTTAAAAACAGAGTACAAAGAGTTGTCATTAATGGTAAATTTTCAAGCTGGACAGAGGTGGCAAGTGGTGTCCCTCAGGGGTCTGTTCTGGGACCCCTTCTATTTAACATGTTTATAAATGATCTTGAAGACCGCATTGAAAGTCATGTTTCAGTGTTTGCAGATGACACCAAACTTTGTAAAACAATACAATGTGAGCAAGATATTACTTTGCTGCAGAGGGACTTAGATAGACTGGGGGACTGGGCACTCAAATGGCAGATGAAATTTAATGTTGAAAAATGCAAAGTTATGCACTTCGGCGTAAAGAATATACAAGCAACGTATACCCTTAATGGAAGCGAATTAGGGATAACAACACACGAAAAGGACTTGGGAATTGTTATAGACAACAAACTATGCAACAATGTGCAATGTCAATCAGCAGTGGCCAAGGCCAGTAAGGTATTGTCATGCATGAAAAAGGGCATTCATTCTCGGGACAAGAATATAATTTTGCCTCTTTATAAATCACTGGTAAGACCCCATATTGAATATGCTGTGCAATTTTGGGCACCTGTTCTAAAGAAGGATATTATGGCACTAGAAAAAGTGCAGAGGCGGGCTACAAAACTAATAAAAGGAATGGAACATATCGGCTATGAAGAAAGGTTAACAAATTTAAACCTATTTAGTTTAGAAAAACGTTGCCTGAGAGGGGATATGATAACATTATACAAATATATTCGGTGGCCAATACAAACCATTGTGTGGAAATCTATTCACAAACCGGACTTTACATAGGACACGAGGCCATGAGTTTAGACTGGAAGAAAGAAGATTTCGTCTAAGGCAAAGGAAAGGTTTTTTTACTGTAAGAACAATCAGGATGTGGAATTCTCTGCCTGAGGAAGTGGTTTTATCAGAGTCCATACAGATGTTCAAACGGCTACTAGATGCATACTTGCAAGAACAGAATATTCAAGGATATAATCTTTCAATGTAGGGTAATAACTGCTTGATCCAAGGATAAATCTGACTGCCATTCTGGGGTCAAGAAGGAATTTTTTTCCTAGCTTGTTGCAAAATTGTGCTTCAAACTGGGTTTTTTTGCCTTCTTTTGGATCAACAGCAAAAAACAAATGTGAGGTAGGCTGAACTTGATGGACGCAAGTCTCTTTTCAGCTATGTAACTATGAAACTATGAAACTATGTTTTGTTAGTATATAGTGTCTGTCTATTGTACTACACAGTGGAATATGTTGGTGCTATATAAATAACTGTAATTAGCAGCTTCAGTTCTAAGATGACCATAAAACTGAGCAATCATGGGTCGGAATGATGGTGACAGCACCCAGGAAACATTTTCTCTCCTAATGTACAAAGAAAAGCTTGAATTCTCTTCCATTCTTGGGTAATTTTAAATATATGTATAATGTTGTATAAGTTACTGTATGCTTTACCAAATGGGAGAAGCAGAAAAAGGAAGATAGAATTTAAATGATGGGACTCGTGGGCCATCAACAGAAGGAAATGGGGTACTTCATGGAATACACAAGACAGTTTCAAGTATATATAATGGGAATAAGTAAACAAATAGAAATTACACCCAGAAAAAGAGAAAGGCTCTCATTTTTATTTGGAAAACATTGTCCAGCCACTCAGCAGCCTTTTAATAGATTGGTGCATATTTTAATTGAGTCTCACAGTGCTTAAAGGGATACTATAGTCACCAAGACAACTTTAGCTTAATGAAGAAGTTTTGGTGTATAGATCATGCCTCTGAAGTCTCACTGCTCAATTCTCTGCCATTTAGAAGTTAAATCACTTTTGTTTCTAGCCCTAGCCACACCTTCCCTGGCAGTGACTAAAACAGCCTGCATGTAACAAATATGGTTTCTCTTTCAGTCAGATGTAACTTTCTTCAACAGTTTTTTATCTTCTGCTCAGTAAACTAAACTTTAATTACATACAGAAGGTTTCAGTAGGGTCTAGAAAGCAATTAACAGAGCAGGAGATCAGAAATTCTAAAATAAACAGAATGTGCAATAAAGGAAGCATAAACATTAGATCTCAGTGTACAGGAAGTCTTTATGAAGACTGTGTAAGTCACATGCAGAGAGGTGAGACTAGGGCTGCATAAACAAAGTGATATAACTACTAAATGGAAGAGAATTTACCAGTAAGACTGCAGGAGCATGATCTATACACCAAAACTGCTTCATTAAGATAAAGCTGTTTTGGTGACTATAGTGTCCATTTAAAATAATGGGTTTCCACCAGTCAGAAACACAATGAAACAGTAATATTGGGCTTTTTTTATTTTTATGAATGTCAGTCAAATTCATTACTCAAGAACATATGTTAATCTTCCTAACAAAAAAGAAAATATTCACAGTTTTCCTCCCTTAGATGTAATTTGCTGTTATATTTCCCTTGTAGGTACAAGGCATTTAAACATCCATTCTTGAGATGTTTAATATAATTATTATGTTTTTAAAAAAATAAATAAAAATCTTTTCTGTAGAGCATTGTCATCCATGGATGAAAATTGGAGTAATTGGTACACAATTTCTGTCATATTTTTAATCGCATAATCTCATAATCCATTACCAACCCCAACACCACCAAAAAAAATGAGGATTCCTTAACAATGTACTCACACTAGACACAATGATAAACACAACACTTTTGTTTTTTCCCCCATTTTTCATGAGCTGAACTTTTTCTATGTACACAAAAGGCCTATTTCTCTCACATATTGTTTACAAATCTGTCTAAATCTGTGTTAGTGAGCACTTTGTTGAGATAATCCATCCACCTCACAGGTGTGGCATATCAATATGCTGATTAGACACAATAAAAGGCCACTCTAAAATGTGCAGCTTTACTGTATTGGGGCGGGGTCAGTATCTAGTGTGCTGACCATTTGCCTCACGCAGTGCAACACATCTCCTTCACATAGAGTTGATCAGGTTGTTGATTGTGGCCTGTGGAATGTTGATCCACTCCTCTTCAATGGCTGTGTGAAGTTGCTGGATATTGCCAGGACCTGGGACACGCTGCCGTATACGCTGATCCAGAGCATCCCAAACATGCTCAATGGGTGACATGTCCGGTGAGTATGCTGGCCATGCAAGAACTGGGATGTTTTCAGCTTCCAGGAATTGTGTACAGATCCTTGCAACATGGGGCATACATTATCATGCTGCAAAATGAGGTGATGGTCGTGGATGAATGGCACAACAATTGGCCTCAGGATCTCTTCACGGAATCTCTGTGCATTCAAAATGCCATCAATAAAATGCACCTGTGTTCGTGTCATGTTCCTGAGCTGGTCAGAGAGGAGACGATTGCCAGGGTTAGACATAACAATTTACTTGAAAGCAAGAATTAAGGCATTATGCCACAAAAAGGATACTTTGAAAGATAAAACAGAATAAAGGCAATATGCCACAAACAGGATACTTTGAGAGTAAATTAATAAAGTCTTTTATATACAAGTAGGTTTGACGTTATTTCCAAGTAGATTAGTAATCTGTGGAATGTCCCACTGCAGCCAGGTTTAGGATGATACAGGGTTGAAATGGTTAAAGCTGGTAAGTACTTTCAGAATAATATAGTACAGGTTGCTTAAAGGATTATGCAGAGTTGCAGCAGTTGAGACAGGTAAGTAGATTCCAGTATAATGTAATACAGGTTGCTTACAGGATCATGCAGAGTTGCAGCAGTTGAAACAGGTCTGTAGATTCCAGTATAATGTAATACATTGCAGCAGTTGAAACAGGTAAGTAGATTCCAGTATAATGTAATACAGGTTGCTTACAGGATTTTGCAGAGTTGCAGTAGTTGAAGATAAGAGTTTCATTAGGAATTCGGCGACGGGACAAACGGAGTCTCAATAGAGGATCAGGATGTTTTCAGGAGCCAGGATACAGGATGTTTTCAGGAGCCAGGATCAGAAGTTCTATGTCAGAACACTGACTTCAATGTAAAGGCCATGAGAAGAGTTGGGTGTGGCCTTTTATAGCAGACTTGGAAGATCATATGAGACAGGTGAGAGCAACTGATGATTGACTAGTGGCTAGCGAGGCCACTAGAGGCGAGGAACAGGTATTGCAGCCATAAAATAAAGCAATATCTTGGTTGTCAGGATAGGATCCTGACAGTTCGTCACCCGTAACATACGCCTGCCCATGCCATAACCCCACCGCCACCATGGGCCACTATATCCACAACGTTGACATCAACTAACCACTCACCCACATGACACCATCCACGATGTCTGCCATCTGCCCTGTACAGTGAAAACCTGGATTCATCCATGAAGAGAACACCTCTCCAAAGTGCCAGACGCCATCGAATGTAAGCATTTGCCCACTCAAGTCGGTTACGACGACGAACTGCAGTCAGGTCGAGACCCCGATGAGGATGACGAGCATGCAGTTGAGCTTTCCTGAGATGGTTTCTGACAGTTTGTGCAGAAATTCTTTGGTTATGCAAACCGATTGTTGCAGCAGCTGTCTGAGTGGCTGGTTTCAGATGATCTTGGAGGTGAAGATGCTGGATGTGGAGTTCCTGGGCTGGTGTGGTTACACGTGGTCTGCAGTTGTAAGGCCGGTTGGATGTAAGGCCAAATTCTCTGAAACGCCTTTGGAGATGGCTTATGGTAGAGAAATGAACTTTCAATTCACAGGCAACAGCTCTGGTGGACATTCCTGCAGTCAGCATGCCAGTTGCACGCTCCCTCAAAACATGCGACATCTGTGGCATTGTGCTGTGTGTTAAAACTGCCCATTTTAGAGTGGCCTTTTATTGTGGCCCTCCTAAGGCACACCTTTGCAATAATCATGCTGTCTAATCAGCATCTTGATATGCCAGACCTGCGAGGTTGATGGATTATCTCGGCAAAAGAGAAGTGCTCACCAGCACTGATTTAGACAGATTTGTAAACAATATTTGAGAGAAATAGGCCTTTTGTGTACATAGAAAAAGTCTTAGATCTTTGAGTTCAGCTAATGAAAAATGGGGGCAAAAACAAAAGTGTTTATAATTTTGTTCAGTGTACATCATTAAATCACAGCGTGCATGCTATTATTCCAAAACCTATAAACTTCCACAGCCTAACTTAAATGAACAGTCTGACAGTGAAATATAGCCGTACTATTACAACAATCGAACACGTTGTATTGATCTTCGTTTGGATGGAACACATCTCAGGAAGATACATGATCACATTTTAGGTTCCAAGAACATTTACTGTTTCTTACATGCACAATGACTAAGTGCCCCAATGTGTAAAATGTACGAGACTGTTCTTTTGTTCCCTTGCCTGTTTTGTTCTGAATTCTTCTGGCAGACTTCATACATATATTTTGCTTAAGCCAATGTGTAAATGGCCTACAGCCAAGATATAATTATCCTCTGGTTCTCCTGGTATCCTGCAGTTGGCCTGTCTGAAATTTAATAATGCAATAATCAGGGATGTGACCAACACATTTTATTATTTAGCTGCATAAAAGACATTATGGATGCCTTTGAACATAACTCTGCTCATTCGCATATAGTCACTCGGACATATCATATCTGTACATTGAGTCCACAGTAAAGACCTCCTCCCAGAATCCTCTTGTGTCTATAAAGTAATAAAGGAAATTCCATCCAGAACAAGAGTTATATTTAGATATATTCAGACATATTTAGATATTTAGATATAAATATGTACATACATTGCTTTACCGCTCTTTGGAAGTCTACACTGGCGTAAGTTGACCAGACCTAGGATGGCACATTTTGAATGGTGGCAGCTAGTTCAGACTTTAGTTTATTACTTTGTCCTTTTTTAATATGTCACCTTGGCATCCAGGATGTTTGGGATCTTCAGTTTACAATGTTACTCAGCCAGCTCGACTAGATTTGCAAAATTGTTATGTTAGTATGTAGTTACTTTACAGTTTGTAAATTTAGCAAATCATTTCAATGGGGTAAACTTGACATGTCTTCATTTAACATACTCGTCAATACAATTTACATACATATAGTAGATATATCTTAGAAATAGGTACGATTCTGGGACAAAGTGCAAAATGTTGAGAGATATCTTACTGCTTTCCATGGTGATAACTCCCAGAATAGCTTTTTTTTTGTTGTTGTTGTGATCGATTTACACAGTAGCTTGTGATTTTTGCAATATCCATTAAAGATCTTTTGTTCTTTTTTAAAAAAAAAAATATTTTTTCTAATCTATGGTAAGTTTAATAACATTTACCAAAAACCTGCATAACTTGTTAAACTGGTATGGTCACGTGTGGGGCGCCAATTTATTTGTAAAGACTACACCACTGCAGGTGACATGTTCGGTTGCATGAGAAACTCTTTGAAAACAAGGGTAATGGGAGATGCACATAAATTAATCTCTTGTTCTTTTTACCTCAATTTTTTCATTCTCCAGACTTCATCTTCAGACGTATGAACCTTCTAGGAGCCATGCTGCTCTTGTGCCTGCACGAAAATGTAGAACCATGGATGAACATCGAATACTCTACATATTTCTAGCATGCCCCAGGAGAAGACATAAACATCTAGTGCACATTATATGAGAATATTACTGTTCTTATTAGCCCTTTTGAGTAATGGCTAATTAAATTGGACACTGTACCAGAGGCGGAGGCTGATTATTGTTGAATCTTTTGCTATATTTTGCTATAAACTGCTGTGTACATAACATAAAGACATTAGTGGGATGTATTTGTTGTGTTGGCATTTAAATAAAAGTCCAAAGGAAAGGTTTCTTTACAGTCAGAAGAAAGGGTTTTTGTTCACAGGAAGCATAATAAAAATGTGGCATTTTCTACCCAAATACAGCGTTTTATCCGATTCCGTATATATTTTTTTTAAATTTGGCCTGGACGGAGTCAAGAAAGAATCTCCCCCCCCCCCCTTTTTTTGTGGTATAACTGGCCATCACTTTAAATTGGAAGGGATGATTTACCTTCTTTAGGATTAACAGCATAACAATATGGGTTTCAAAAGTTGGACTTTATACCCCTCTAGTAAGTTAGTGTAAGAGGTTGATGGGATTGGCTTGCTTGATCCAGCCAATCACATTGCTCTACTACTGCAATGTTATCAAACAAGTTTATTGAATAACCCTTATCCTGATTTCATAGCCATTGTTAGCAATAGCAAGAACATAAATTGGACCATGTTATGAATAATAATTTGTTAGTTAAACAGTAAAATATGCTATACCAAGTGCATGTCCTGGTTACAGACTAGCCTCAATGAAATGCTGCAAGCAGTGATCTTAAATGGCAATCTTTGTGATTTGTCACGAGAACAAAGGCTTCTGGGCATATATTTAGGATGTGTCCCCTCCACCTGTGTTTTATTTTATTTATTTATTTATTTTTAATTAAAGTTAAAGAACTATTGAAAATGTTGTCACCATTATCATGAGACATTTATTAAAGAAACTTAAACTTTAATAACTTAATATTCAAAATATAATGAAATAAAACTTCTACATTCAGATCTTTTTTTTCAATTTACAACTAATGCATGCATGCAAAATGCTAGCTTAATATTAGAGCTAAAAAACAAACAAACACATTCTTTTCTACAGATAAAGTGTGGTGATGCATTATCCAGACACATTCTCAAGATTATTTCCTAAAGTCAGAACTGTTGGGAAGTCAGAGTGGATTCAAAGTGAATTTCAAATTTAAGGACAGAGCAGACAAACAGGAAGCAAAGCTAAATTTGGAGATTTTTCTCTATTTGGGCTATTAGGACCTTAAATTTCACTATAAATTCACTCTTAATTCCTGACAATTTTGACTTAAGGAGATTACCATGTGAGTATAGAAAGTTTGCACCAAACTGTGAGGCCATAATTTTATTTTGAATATGTCTGCTAAGGTGTTTTGGTAGCCCAATGTAGAGATACAATTTTAGCAGACTGAAACTAGAGTCTGTCTTGTGTGGAAAAACTGATTCTGTTTATTTTATTGGGGACCATGACCTAAAGAAATAGAAAAAAATAAATACATTTAAAAAAAGATGACACAATTCTTGCCCACCACATACAATAAAACTGAGGCAAGATACACGTTATTCAATTTTTGTTTAACTAATCACATATATTTATTGTTGCACACCCATTTAATTTTACAATAAGCCTATTAAAAAGGGTAATTTTAAGTTCCGGTATATGGCACAGCAGAGATTACCAAAGGTACAATGTTTACTTTGTGCCACATCAGTAGATTATAAACCGCAGAGAGATGATGATTCGTATTTCCTTAGACACAATTACAAAAGGCATTTTTTGAGCCAATCTAAAAAAGCATTTGCTCACTGGTGACCACACGCTTTAAATGCATTAGAAAGAATAGTTTAAACCAAATACTGAGAGTGAGTAATAAACTCAGAATAAAAAAAATGGAGGTAGTCAATGGAAAACACACATATATATTTAGAGAGAGAGGCAATCAAATCCTGGGGATGTCTTAAGGCTTTGCCAGAGCAACCCCTTGTGGAAGTATAAAGTACTACAAGAATGACTACAAAACATGCCACAAAACATGACTACAAAACACCAGGGAATAAAAACATACCAACATTCACAAATAAGTATTTCAATAATGAGAAATCATTTTCTTGTTTATGTGATTTCCTAATATTAAACATAAAGAACTAAAATTTTGGAAAATAATGGCTATGTTTGTGACATTCTGTGGGACCCTACTTTGAAAAGAAAAGTGTTTTGCAATAGTAAAAGTCATTATAATGTACATAGTGCCATACAAAATAGAAACCAGACATGTTAAGATCATTAAATGGGGGGAAAATAGACCTTACCCACTCAAATCACTATCCATCAGATGCAGACGTTTACATTTAAAAATGGACAGTCCCAGTGGCGTACATACCAGGGACGCAGGGGTCGCGGCTGTGACCGGGCCCGGCCCACCAGGGGGCCCGGCCGCCCCTGCGACCCGGTATGTAGCCACAGGGCCAGCCTCTTCCCTTGGGGGGCCCAGGAGCCGACCACCCCAGGGCCCCCCTGAGGCTGGCCCTGCTGACCCCGGGTGGCCGGTCGGGCAGGCAGGCGGGCGCGCGAGGGAGCACTCAGTGCTTCTTCTTCAGCTCCCTCGCGCACCGCAATGATACCGGAGCCGGAAGATGACGTCATCTTCCGGCTCCGGCATCCCTACGCGGCGCGCGAGGGAGCTGAAGAGGAAGCACTGAGTGCTCCCTCGCGCGCCCGCCTGCCCGACCGGCCACCCGCCCAGGAGCCCCACTGGACCCCAGGGAATAATCCCCCCCAGCACTCCAAGAGGTAAGGAGGCTGGGGGGATTATATTAAAAAAAAATGTGTTAGTGTGTGTTAGTGTGTGTTAGTGTGTTAGTGTGTGTGTTTGTTTGTTTGTGTTCGTGTGTGTGTCTGTTATTGGGTTTGTGTCTGCTAGTGAGTGTGTGTTACTGAGTGTGTTTGATGTCTGTTAGTGAGTGTGTGTTTGTCAGTGAGAGTGTATGTTTTGTAAGTGAGTGTGTATGTATGTCTGTCGCTGAGTGTGTCTCTGTCAGTAAATGTGTGTGTCTGTTAGCTAGTGTGTATGCGTCTGTTCGTGAGTATGTTTTCAGCTGCAGGGTTAAAACTAGAGGGACCTGGCACCCAGACCACTTCATTGAGCTGATGTGATCTGGGTGTCTGTAGTGGTCCTTTAAGTGTGTGTGCATACCGCGGTCGCGGGGTCGCAGCCCTGCAACACCTGCGACCAGGTGCCCACCGCCATGTGTTGCGGCCCCAACCCGCGCCGAGTAAGCGCAGGGGTGGGGGGGGGGCCACGGATCAATTTTCGCACCGGGGCCCCATGGGTCATGTGTACGCCACTGGACAGTCCCCCACCCA